GGTTCAGCTGTGTTCCCCTCTGGTGTGTCATTCCCTCGTTACCTTGTGTGTATTTATAGTGTGTGCCTGCCTGTGTTCCTTGTTGGTTCATCTGTATTATTTGGTCATCTCTGCGCCTCATTCTGCTCTCCATTCCCTGCTCTTCATCTCTTCCCTTCCCTCCTTATGTTTTCCCTGCGAGTGATTCTGTGAGTTATCATTTCAGGTTTTGTTTGTTAGTAGTTTTCCCCAGTTCAGTTTTGCCCTCGCTTTTGTTATTTATCGTTCACTGTAAAAAACTCACTTGCATCACCGCTGCTGTCTGCAACTTGGGTCCTCCTTCACTTCTCCACATGACTGCTGTGGCAGACGTGATTATTGGAGGCAATGTTTGAATTTGAATGTCTCAAAAACTATTAACAATAAAAACCTGAAACTTTCACTGCCTTGTCAGCCACCACGAGATGAGATTCTGAGGCTACCACTGTCTTGGCTTTGCCTAGAAATGCTGTGCATGAAATGTATGCTTTGTGGTCCCATTTTTCTGGGACGCCCACTTCCCAGTCCTACACGTCCTGTTATCTAGAACCTGGCCTTCAGTTTGGAGGTAGCACTAAGGCTCACTCCAAATAATGCTGTGCAGTGGCGGTCCTAGCCTGTTTGCCGCCCTGGGTGAACACTCCCTCTGGCACCCCCCCAAATATACCACCACACACACACACACACACGGCAAATCAAGGATTGTACATTAACATAAAACTGTTGTCGACAGTATGTATGCATTGTATGCATTGTATGCAAACAGCTACCAAACAGCCATCATAATTCGTCACACAATGAGAACAGGACAAATCAACAATTGACAATGACTAATTAATATTAAAATCTGCAACATAATGTATTGTTTGGAGTTTAGTCTGTTACTGTTACTATTTTTACCATTTCTTCTTGGAGCAACTGTAACCCACATCATTTCCTTTAATTAATAAAGTATTGTGATTCTGATTGGTTCAGGATGACCTGCCATCATCCAATCACACGTCTGCTTACCTGCATCTTTTGCTCCTTTCTCCTCATTTTTCCTCTTTTTTTCTAAACTGAGCACCTGATGGCTTTGAATTTTTCTTGTCCATCTTCCATTGGTTTTAATTTTGCACTCCAGTATGAACACAAATCCCCCAACGAGGATCACCCCAACATAACCTAACACACCTACACCTTAGTTCACAGATTCACTTTGTCTCTGGTTTATTTCTGGGATTTCACACAACCCAGGATTCAAATCAGGAATACATGATGGGCTTGATTTACAACATTATGAATGAAATGTGCTCTATTTGGAAGCAGCCGGCCCCTCCCCCTCCCCAAGCAGCAGGCGCAGCTTGCAAACGGAGGGCGCCCTTACTCCCAGCAAATGGGCGATAGAAAACCAATCGGTGCCTGTGACATTCCCAATATGCGCTGGCTGATGTCGATATGAGTACGAGCTATTTTTTTTATTTTTATTTTTTGCGGATGCCCGTGATGCCGCCCCGGGCAATCGCCCGTGTCACCCAAAAACCGCTACTGGCCCATTAGTGAAACGTGGCATGCTTAAAGCAGACACAAACTGTTGCAGGATGCATACCACAGGCTCAAAACCAGAGCCGGTAGCAGAATAAGCTGTCTGGCATTGGCAGAGAAGATTTAACAAGTTTTTCATTGGCACAAGCCAAATATTCTGCTGCTCAACCCACAAATGAACTTTCCTTACAAATGTGGCGCCATTTAAGGGGAAGTAAACAGGCTTTCCAATGTTTTAATAATTATTGCCCTGAACCATTGCTATAACAAGACATTTATATATTCATGTTATCTGTGTCAAATATTAATATTTGTTTGATGATTTGTACGTTTCAGTACATCGCTGCAGCTACTGCTCACATTAACAACATGTTTCTTTCTTTTTAGCTGTTTCTGAGCTTAAGAAACCAGTGAAGCAAACAAGACAGCAACTGTCTCAAGTTAGGCAAAGAAAAAAAGTGGGAACAAATTGGGAAAGACTGTCAACGATATCGTTTTGCAAACTTTGGTGAAACCGTATCAAAAACTGTCCTTTGTAAACGTTAGGACATTTTGTCTTTTGTCATCATTTACTTCCACAAATCCTCTTTTATTTTCTTAAGCGGACTTCTTTTGTTCTAAATTCTTGACGGGTTTGGATGGGTGTGTCAGTTTATCTTACTCATCCAATGTCAGACCACGCCCCCTCAGCTCAGCACATAAAGCTGAGCATCACAGTGGGTTTCAGTGCATTCAGCGTCTGATCAAAGAGGGAAGAAGAAGAAATGTCCTGCCTGAAGAATTTCAGTCTCCTCATCTCATGTGTGCTCCTCTTCATCATCCAGCCAGGTGAGTGATGTTTTCTACTGTAATTTAATTTAATGATTGGTAATTTTAATCTTCATGTAAGTAAGGGTAATGCAAAGTCACACTGCTGATCTCCTTCAGGTGTTTGTTTCACTCATCTGTTCTTCACTTGATCATCAGCTGATTTATGCGTCCTGATGTTTTGTTTCTGTTTCAGGTCGTGGGTCTGAGATTATTAATGGGAAAGAAGTCGAGCCACACTCACTGCCTTTCATGGCCTATCTTAGAACTGTGACTAATTCTTGGTGTGGAGGGACATTAATCCATCCACAGTGGGTCCTGACAGCTGCCCACTGCACTGGGTAAGAATCTGAGGTCTTATTTTCCTCAATTTTAAAAATAATGCAGTATTTATTTTCAACAGACTATTATTCCTTCAGTAACTACCCAGAGGTCACTACCCTCACCTGTGGTCACGAGCTCTGGGTAGTTACTGAAAGAATGAGATCAGGGCCAGAGCAGCAGAAATGTGCTTTCTGTAAACGGTGGCTGGCCTCTTCGTTAGAGAAAGCGAATATTACACACTGCTATAATTATACATGCAAAGCTAATTACATTGAATGGAGAGGATGAATATAGAATATTTAAAGCTGATTTTTCCCTCTCTTGTAAGCACAATATCTGTACAGAGGTGTTCTAGAAAGTTTTATTTAAGATGGAATAACAAGCAAAATATAAGTGTTGCACTCACTTAAAATAACACAGAAGCCACAGCTACATACACATCAAACATTTTATACATTTCTTAATCTAAAACATTTTATGTACATTTTAATTTCTTCATTCAGCTGGAAGAAAAAATAACGCAGATTCACCCAAAGCTCAGTAACAGCTATAACCCAGCCATATGTAGTAATACACAATAATAAAGAACTACGATGACTGTTTTAGAAGCCGCTGATCTGTTAACCTTTTAAATATGTAAACCTTCATCACCAGATTGTGTTTTTTCTTTTACAGGAGTTATTGGGTGATCCTGGGAGCCCACTCCAGAACGAAAAACGAAAGTTCCAAGCATCAAAGAGTCGTTGAGAAAAGTTTTCCTCATCCTGACTACTGTTGTGCAAGGTTGGACGATGACCTCATGTTGCTGAAGGTA